TGCGTCCACCGCTAGCCATTCTGCCCCCCGGGGGGTCTGAGCGCAATGAGAAGTTGGAATCCAGAAGCCCCTGCACCCTCCAGTGGGCGCATCTGTGTAGCCTCAACAACCAGCCCAGAGCAGGGGACCCAGGAGGCTTCATGTGTGCCTCAGGATGGGCACCTCAGGGGAGAAGAAATCCCAGGAAGCTTCTGGAAATGGAAGCCAACAGGCTGCCTGGGAAGGGAGGAGAGGCACAGCCTTGCAGACAAGACCCCACAGCCCGTTTCAGGTGCCGTCACTTACCCAGGGCTCCTTGGCAGATGTCCGTGCGGGTGGCCCCTCCAATAATAAACCGCGGGTCATTGCAGATCTCCTGGGAACGAGACCCACAGAGTGCTGTCAAGCCACCAGGCACATGCTTTTGGAGTTAGGACACCTCCGTTCCCAGTGGGTGCACCAGACGCCTTCTCCGCCATCCGCACCCCCCTCCCCCCGCCAGGGAAAGTTTTGCAGTTAGAGCCAGACTGCCATGGGCAACTTCTCGTACCCCTGCCCCATGGAACCCCAGCGCCCCGCACTGCCTACAGCCTACTTCATGTCTCTACTTCCTCTCCATCAGCTGTGGGGTCCCTTCATACTCTGGGGCTGCCCCATCAGCCCCACCAGCCCCTCTCCTCCATTCCTGCACATCAGCTGTTTTGTCTTCGTGGGATTCCTTTCCCACCTTGTTCTCTCCTGTTTCACCTCCTACCGTATTTCAAGCCTCCTTGCCACCTCCTCCATGAAGCCCTCCTTCACAGTCCAGCCCTCGCTCATGTCTGGGATTCTGAGCCCCGGAGCACTTGTACTCTGCCGTCTGGTATTTAGCTGTGCCCCGTCCAGTGTTGCTGGGGGGCGTGTACAGGGGAACGGATCTAGCCTTCTGAAGCCGCCCAGCGCGCGGGATATCGGCAGCATCCGTGTCTCGGGAAGCAGCTGCAGAGGGGTGCTGTGCGTGGTGCTTTATGTCATGGGGCCCTCTCCGGGATTCAGATGGGTACCGTCCCCATCTTACGGGGAGGAAACAGGCCACAGAGATAAAACAGTGTAAAACAATGTGTCCAAAGATAGCGGCTCTAAGTTACAGACAGCACTGGCATTTGCACTCACTGGCGGATAACAATAGCTTTGTACTCTTTCTGCTGCGAGGCTGCCTCTGACCGATTAGTAACAAAACTCTAAGGGTGTTACAACCTCACTGATTAGTAACAAAACTCACGATTATCCCCCCGCCCCCACAGCCCGATGGAGGCAATCGGGAACAATTCTGGCCCCTCCCGCCACCCTCTCTGTTTCCTGATTCTGAAGCGCTCCAACCCAAAACCGCAGAGGAAGCCAGAGGAAGCCAGGCATAAATCTGGGCTTTCATTGGCTTGGGCGACCTCGGTGTGCCGGTGCTCCACCCCACACCCCTCGGTGTGTCCCTCTCGGTCAAGCAGAAGCCTTTTTTGGGTGGGGCCTGGGTCCGGCCCCCTGTCCCCTGTCCCTGCTCATCACTCTACAGCAGAGTGCATTCCTTTCACGCCTCGCCACGGTCCCCTCCCTGCTCAGGTCAGGCTGCTTGGGGGGATGACGGGACAGCCGAACCCGCCAGGCAAGCACTCATGCAGCTCATCGATGGACACACTGGGCTTGGTGCCGAGAGCCCAAGAATCACACCGCGTTCCTCTGTGTGCCAGGCTCTTCCACCAGCAGGATTTTCCACTGTTTCAGAAATTTTCCCACACCTTGGGCAGCCTCTCCAAAGAAGGCAAAGCCCAGGGTGGCCCCTGGAGGTGCCTCAGGAAAGTGAGCCTCGCGCATGGCATGTAGGCACTGGATTAAACCTGGATGCGACCCCGGGGACGGGGTCAAGGGCTTGGGCTCTGGGTCCGGACAAGTGGGGTCTGAACCCTGGCCCTGCCACTCCAACGGGTTCTAAGACCCGGGCAAGGTCCTCCACCTCTGTTGGCCTTGGTTTCCTCATCTATGGAATGGGGACGGTGTGACAAGTGTACCCCCCACAGGGTGTTCAGTGACACCAAGTGTCCTTGGTAAGCGCTCCACAGAAGTCAGCTATTGTTATTGCCACTGAAGAACAAGGGGATGATAGTCCCTGAATCTGGAGGCCACCAGAGGTCTGTGCTCTCGGGGCACAGGGGGACTCAGGCAGCCTGCCCCTGCTCCGACCTCCTCAGCACTGCAGCTGGTCTCAGCAGCGAGGTCAGGAAACCCCTCCCTGGGGAGGAGCACACCCTCCCACTCAGGGCCTGCCTGGCCTGCCTGCTCCCTGCTCTCCCTTCCTTGGGACCTCGTGTCACCAATTCCTGCTGTCTGCCTCTCACCCCTTCCTCCCCGGTGACTCAACACATGACACATCCCACAGCCTCTCAAATCCCACGGCCCACCCTACCCACCACTCCCCTGTCCCTTTTCAGACACCCTCTCAAAGGAGCTGATGACGCTCTTCCTGCTTTGGGTCCCTCACTTGTGGCACCTACAGCACCCAGCCGACTGGCTCTGCACCACCTTCCCACTGCAGCTGCTCTTCCAAAGTCCCCAGTGACTCGCTGGTGTCCAGATCCAGGGGACATTTTGTTTCCCTCGCCTGACCCCAACCACAGCAGTGTTCGAGAAGGCAGGACGGAGGCAGAGGGTAGCTGTCCAACCCACAGGCCGGACAGAGTCCCGGCTCCACCCCGGACACCTGTGTGAGCAAATATTTAACTTCTGCAAGCCTCTAGTTCTTCAACTGCTGAATGGGAACATAACAGCCTCCCCCCCACCCCAACTTGTGCAGCTCGCAGCCTGTCTCATCCTGACATGGCGGGGTCCTGAGATTGGCTCCAGATCTCTCGCCCATCTGGAAGCTCTACCGGCAGTTCTACCTCCTGGGCGACCTGCCTCCCCTCACCAGCCCCTAAAGTTTAAGGAGGCAGAAACTAGACATACTGTGCTTGGCACAGTAGGTGTTCAGCAAGTGCTTATTTAATAGTGAATGAAAGAACAAGTGAAGGAGTGTGCAAATTCACTCTGTAAACTGTAAGCGAGGCACTATGCTAGTGTCAGGTGAATACATTCTCTTTTATTTGTCACCTTCACAACTATAACTTCACTTGAGGCTCATTACAACCCTGCCTTCATTCATTCCCTGACTCCATGAAGAATCACTGTCCCTCTGTTCACAGATGTATCCCAAGCATTGAAGACAGTGCCTGGAGTGTTAACAGGCGCTCAGGACTGCTGGATGAGGTGGCACTGACCTCTGGGGACACACTGGTGACCAATACACAGGGGGTCCCTGCAGTTCTGAGGGAAGGACAGATAATACGTAATTATACCTATAAACTGCAAAAACACTTGAGGAAAGTTAGCAGGGCTCTGTGAGGAACAATAAAAGATAAAGAATAATAAATAAAGAGGAAAATACTTAGGCAACATCTCTCCTTTTAGATGAAGAAATGGAAGCAGAGAGGCTAGAGGTCCAGGCAGCGTCACCCAGCAGGTGAGCAAGAAATGAACTCAAGTGCTGGGGACCCCATCTAGGGCATTTCTACTGCGCTTGCTGCTTATAGGCTGGGTTTAGGGTAACAGGTGACCTGGGAGGTCCAGAGGAGTGGACGCAGGGCGGCAACTTTACTCTCAGGTCAGGAATCTAGAGCCTGGGCTCCCAGGAAGCCTTGTTCAGATTTGGCAGGGGAATACCATGCAGTGTCCCATGGCAGGTGGGGCCTGCAGAGGTCCATGGCGAACCGGATGGACAACTGGAGGAGGGGGCAAGCTGTCCCAAGGCCTGCCAGGGCAAGGGGCGTGGGCAGGACAAGGGAGCTTAGAGGGCCCCCCGAGATTCCCCAGGGAGGATTCTGGGCCAGTGCAATGAGGAGGAGCATCTGGCTCTGTGCTGCATCACTCCCGTCCTTCGTTAATCATCAGGGTAAATGTTATGCAGAGGTCTCACCAGCTCCCATTTGGAAAAATAAACACGAAACTCTGATTGGATAAATCTTAACCGCGACTGCACGAGACAATCCTTACTCACAAAAGGACCAGGCTGCGGGTTTCCCTCTTCCCTGAAGCAGACACAAGCTGAGTTAGAGCTTGACGTTTCCTGGTCAGATACTGCCTCCCACCCTCCTTTCCCCGCAGACCTTCCTCCCACCATCTCCCCGCGGGAGTCCAAGCAAAGTTTCTCCCAGGGCTCCTATGTCGCCCCGACATCTTGTGGAGTCCGAAGGCGGCTCCCCTGGCCGGCCTGGTAACTGCACGGGAGGGCAGGGCGCGCCTGACTGGCGGAGGAAGCGTCGGGGTGGAGAGAGGCCAGGCCCACGCAGCGGACGCGCCTGCACCGAATAACGGGGAGGGGCGCGCACAGTGCGCTCCTGGCGCGCTCTCGGCGGCGGGCGCAGGCCCTCCCAGACCCCGCTGCGCTAGGCTGGCCGGCAGCCTGGGCCCCGCACCCTCCGCACTCCACCCACCCCGGGCCCCGCGCCCCCTGCCGGCCCCCGCCCCGCACACCCCCCACCTCGGGCCCCGCGCCCCCGCCGCCCCCCGCCGCCCCGGCACCGCACACCCCACCCACCCCGGGCCCAGCGCCCCCCGCCGCCCCCGCGACCCCCGGCCCCGCGCCCTACCGTGGGCCGCTTCCACTCGATGCCCTGCGTCTTGCTGGAGTAGGGTCCCAGCTCCTTGAAGCCCAGGGAGGAAGGGATGGCCGGGAAGGAGGGGTCCTGGAAGAGCGTCCCGGCCTCCAGGCACTCGTCCCGCAGCGCCTCGTAGTCCTGGTTGAGGTACTTAATGGACTTCTCGTGCGAGCCCAGCCCCTCGGCCGTCTCTCGGTCCTTCACCAGCTTGGCCGCGATGCCGGCCATGGCGCGGGGGTCTCGGCAGGGGCGCGGCGAGCAGGGACCGGCGTCGGAAGGAGCGCGGCCTGGTTGGGCGCGCTGCGGCTGGACTGCGGTCGGCGGCGCCGCGGGCGGTACCTCCCCCAGCAGGAGGCGCCCCCTCCCGGCGGGGTGTGGCCTCGGCGCCCGGCGGCGGGTGTGGCCTCGGCGCCCGGAGTGCTGGGGCTTCCCGGCGGGGTGTGGCCTCGGCGCCGGGGGTCGCGGGCTGCCACCTGCGGCCCAGACCGGCCGCCAACGCTCCGCCCCCAGGGCTGGAAGGCGGGTCCGGGACTAAATCAGCGGCCATCACCGGGGCCCCGACTTTGTGTCCAACAGCGCGCAGACGGCCTCTCATTTACCGCTCGCAGCAACCCCGGAGACGGGTGTCCCCCCGCTGGGTTCCCATCCTGCTGAGGCGAACAGCGGGCCTCGGAGAGGCTGGGTGACCCGGTGTCGCACCAGCGGTCGCGGGCAGCACGGGGATTCCGAGGCCTCAGCGCCTGTTAGAATCACACGCTGCACATCACACACAGGGTTCCGGGGTTGGCCACTCAAAATACATTCTGAATTTCAGGTTAGCACCAACATTTCCTCAGTGTAAGCATGTCCCGGATATTGCAGGGGCATACTTATACTGAGAAGGTACTCGTGGGGCGCCTGGCTGGCTCAATCGGTGCAGCATGCGATCTTGACCGTGGGGTGGTGAGTTCGAGCCCCAGGCTGGGTGAAGAAATTACCAACCCCAGGTATTGTTGTTTATCTGACACTCACCTTGAAGGGGAGGACGGAGTCAATACTGGTGGGGTGTTTGGAGAGCAGTGCCGGTGACCCCTCCCCCGGGGGCGGGGTGGTGGTGGGGTGTTGCTGGGAGGGAGGGAGCTTCTTGGCTCCATCCCGGAGGCGCGGGTGCGCTGGGACTGCTCGTCCTCCCCCTCCCTGCACTAGGAGGCAAGCATTTGTGTTTCAGTGGGAAACAGGGGGTGGCTTTGCCCTCTCTACCCTACCCCAGGGGACACTTGGCCTTGATGGAAGACATTTTGTATTGTCAGGACTGCGGATGGGGAGCCACTGGCCTCTAGTGGGTAGAAGCCAGGGATGCTGCTCAACTTCTTACACTCCACAGCAAAGTGATCTGATCCCAAATGTCAATAATGCTGAACATCCTGGTTTAGAGCACGACTTCCCAGCCTACCAGATGGTAACCTTTCATTGGGTGTGAGTTGTTTCATGACTCTGAGTTGTAGATAACATGGCCGCGGCAATGTAGGGATCCACGTGAATCCTGTCCAGTGCAGGGGTCTCCCCGCCTTGTGGGAGTCAGCTGAGGCGGTTGGCCCATTCATTTCAATATGCTTCATTTCATATAAACTGGTGCTTCTTGCACTTTCCCTTTGAACCAGATGTAGCATCTGCTTAGTTGTCTCATTTAATTAATGAGCTAAATTAAATCTTTAACGTGTTCATTTTATGGCTAGATGAGAGTCGGTCATGATTTAACGTTTTTGTTTTTTTTAATTATCTTTTAGGGGCACCTGGGCGGCTCAGTCGGTGAAGCGCCTGCCTTGGGCTCAGGTCATGATCCCGGGGTCCTGGGATCGAGTCCCACATCGGGCTCCCTGCTCCGTGGGGAGCCTACTTCTCCCTCTCCCTCTGCTGCTCCCCCTTCTGCTCTCTCTGTCAAATAAATAAATAAAATCTTTAAAAAAATAAATTATCTTTTAGCCTGAAGAACAGGAGGAATAGATAGTCCATCTTGAAGCATAGTTTGAGATTTGAGTATTTAGAATTTGTCTGCTAGACTATGACCTGTCAGGAAACACTTAGAAGTCTTTGGAATTAAAAAAAAAAAAAAAAAAAAAGATATCCTGGGTGTTCTCCGCAATGTTAGTTTTTTTTTTTTTCTTTTCCTGAAACCATGTTTTATTATGCATCTACCCAGCATGAGACCAGGGGGCAGGTGCATCGAACTGCAGGTTGGCTTTCTTCTTGGCATGCACCTCCAGGATGCCCTCCATGTTGTCCTCATGTGTGAGTTCGTGGCGCACCTGAGCAGTGCGATCATGCCCCCTCCACACACACGGCCTTGCATGCGGCCCCACTGAAGTCATCTGCACGGCGGGCCCGCTCCTTGTAGTTCACATCAGGACTGATGTTCACCTTGTGGGAGTGGATCTGCAGGATTCTGGCCCGGGCCTCCTCGCTGGGCATGGGGAATTCAATCTTCAGGTCCAGACCGCCTGAGCGGAGAGTGCAGGGTCCTGGATGTCCACCCTGTTGGTGGCTGCAGTCACCTTTACCTGAGTGTTGGGTCGGAACCCATCCAGTGGGTTCAGAAGCTCCAACAGTGTCCTCTGCACCTCCCAGTCCCAGGCCTTCTCACTAAGCAGACTTGCTGGGGATCTGATGAGCTCCTCTCCATCCCTTTCCTGGTCTTCAAGCTATTTCACAACTCTGTAAGTTTTGGGAAATTGATAGTAATGCAAATAACTCTTGTCCGTATACAAGAAAATAGGCTTTCCCTGCTGAAAGCTTGGCCCCACAGCCTCCCATCTATGAGCAGAGCTCAGTCCTGCATGCCTAACTGGCTGCTCTTTTAGATTCTCCTTTGAACTATTTTTTTTTAAACACCTACTGGTTCCCTTCTTCATTAATGAGTTAAATAAAATCTTGGACATATGTTCATCTTATATTTGTATGAGAGTCATTATTTTACTCTTTTAGGAAGGTATCTTTTAGCACACTTTTGTGCACAGGCCCTGATGCTAACTTCCCATGTTTTCGGGGTTGTCATGGAGCTTAGGGTGTGTATTTATTCTGTGTTGCTCCACAGAGGGAACAGGGACCAGCAATAGGCTTCGTGGGGTGCTGGGTTTAATTTAACAAAAAATGCTTGCACACAGGCCACGCTGTGCCTCATGGAAGGGTACGGCCCAGAGGTGTTCTCCTGAGCTCGGGCCTTCCCAGCTTTGCGGAGCACCAGAACCACTGAGAATTCCTTACTAATTAATGCTCGCAAACGCCTATTTTCCTTATCCTGTCAATTCCTCACAAATGTATTGTCTCTTTGTCCAAAATGTATAAAAACCTCCTGTCTTGGTCCTTTCTTTGGGTCCCAATTTTGTTATTGGGCCTCTGTGAGCACGTAATACAACTTTGGGTCTTTCTCCTGTTAAGCTGCTCTGTGTACGTTGAATTCTTAGTCCTGTTGAAGACCTGGAGGGTGGAGGAAGAATTCTCCCTCCCGGACTGGGCCCTGCTGCTGGGGAGCCTGCCGAGCCAGGGGCTGGTGACCTCTGAACACCCCATAGCCGGAGGGCTCGCTGGCAGGTGGTAGGACCCAGGCTGGAGGTATTTTTCCAGCATCATCGGGTGACAGTTTCTTCCTAGCTTAAAGTCAACATTGGCCTCGTTCTTGAGGGAATTTTCACAAGGGGTGGCTGCATTTTGAAGGCACTATTTCTCTGCCCCTCAAGATCATTTCAAGACTGCTTATTGTTTCCCACGTCCTCAGTTTCCCAGAGAGGAGGAAGAAACTTAGGATTCGTGAATTGCTTTCTGCCACCATGAGTATTTATTCAGATTCCAGAACTGAGCCCTTTGCACACGTTCTTCAGGAGTGGAGTGCGCCAGGTACCCCGTTTCCATGGAATCACCCTACTTTGGGTTTTGGGTTTGTAGTCGCCAATATTGTCCCTTTTGCTATTGATTCTTGTCCTTGACCAGTGCTCAGTTGTCCATTTCTTATTCTCTGCCTCACTTGACCAAATTGTAGTCAGGTTTGTCTCTTTCTTACAGGCGTCTGACCTCTGCTTGCCTGCAAACCGGAGCAGACACGAAGTGGAATGTGGCCCCTTGTCCCGGGAGACCATGTTCTTCTGGTCAGACCCCACTGCTCATTTCCCCTTGTTCGTCCAGCTTCCCCTGCAAAGATTCTGCTTATCTCTGTCTGCACATCCTTTACCCTGTAAGAGACAAGCCCTTTCTGTATGATGGTGAGACACTTGTAGGTTTTTGAGACTGGAAATGTCTCCCTATTGCAATAGTCTTTCTCTCCGATTCAAGTCTTGCCTACCTAAGTCTGGATGTGCTTTTGTCTGAAATCTCCATGTTCCCTTTGCAAGTCTGGGCACCCTGCCCGACAGACAGGTACCACAGCCTGCCCCGTGGCTCTGCTTTTGTAGCCTTGGATGAAATGGGAGACATTGAAATTGGCTTCTAGCTCATAGGTTTTCTGAAACCACCACAACTGAGAACAGAGGGAAGAGATAGCTCATCCTGGAACCTGTTAACTGGTTTCACTGTCCGATTTCCACTGCGCCATCGGATTTCTTCTGGCCTCTGGGCTCTTGGGGGAACACGCGTCCACCTGGCCAGTGTCACGGAGCGGCCCAGGGGTGCTCACACATCTCCTGCTGGTCTCCTGGAGGTCAACTCAGCCCTGGAGGACATGCCTCATCCCCGCCTGCCCACATGTGGCTGACCCTGGCCCCAGCTCCTCTACGTGACACGGGACGGGGCAGACCAGCCCCAGGGGCAGCTTCCTGCTGCCCCGGCTGCCATGCACCAGCCTCCCAGGGCCTGGGCACACAGGACCCTGCTCACAAAGGACCTTCGCTGTCCCAAGTGCCTCGAATTTATTTGCAGATGTGCACAGTGATTACTGCCCTCACCAAAGGCCACAGAGCGGTTTTTAAAACAGAGTGTTCTTTATGCTTTCCGAGCCTCTCACACGATGCTATCTCACCGGATCTGGCAAAACCCCATCTGTTTCTGACCACACGATCCCTTCCACAGGATTCACACAGGTGCCCACAGCCGAGCACTCCGGGCCTCACCCTGGGGAAACTTCCTGCAGTGAGTCACTCGGCCCGGAGCGCAGCTGCCGGGTCAGAGCATGGGGAGTCCCCAGCGCTGGTGGGGCCCAGCCTGTGTGTGTGTGTGTGTGAGTGTGAGCATGTGTGAGTGTGAGCACGTGTGTGACAGAGACACAGGGAGAGAATGAAACATTGAGACCACACCAGCCGTGGCCCTGGCTATTTGGGGGCTGCAGAGGCACATTCTGTGGGTTCTGGACGCTCGAGTCCAAGCTCACTCTTTCCCCGAGCACCTCCAGGTGCCAGGCCCCGAGCTCCATGCTTGATGTACATTAAATCTTCCCAGTCGGTCAAGGGAGGCCTTCTTTCCTCATTTTACAGAAGACGAAATGGAGGCCGAGCAGAACGGCCACTAATGGGTGCTGGGACCAGCCTGGCTCTGAGCCCCAGACCGGAGCCTGTCTGGCCTCTTCCCAGCCGAGGAGGGCTGTGCGGCCGGCAGGGGGCCCGCTTTCTCCTGAGGGTGGAGGCCTAGGAAAAGCTGGATCCTCCTCCTTGACTCCCTCTCTCTGGTCTGTGATCCGAATCCAGAGGCCGTAAGGAGAGAAGAGGCATTCCGTGCCGTTACCACGAGTGGTTTCGTTTTAGGGACCCCTCCCTCTTGGAGTGGCTACAAGGCTTGTTCCTTCCTTGTGACTGCAGCTGGGGGTTGGACACGCCCGCTGGACGCACCGGGTGCGGGGAGGGGTGGGGTGGGGTTCCAGAGCCAGTCCAAGGGATAGGCCTGCCCCTGGTGTCGCAAGAGGTGGGAGGTGCGGCGGGCAGGAGAGAGGAAAAATCTGGAAAGAAAGCACCAAAAAGCCTAGACCAGCCTCCTTGTGGGGGGTAGCAGAGCAGAAGGACTGGGGGCCAAGGGGCTGTGGCAGGGAGGGGCCAGCCAACTGTCAGCCCCGCGGTGACATATGACGGCCCCCGGGCCCTGTCACTGAGTCACTCTGGGCCTCCCCACACCCTTGCACTCTGCTATGCTGGGGCTGGGCAGTTGAGACCTATTTCAGTACTTGCTCTCCTCCGTCCGCTGATGTACCCTCCTGCGTTGGGCATATTTTCTTGTAGCTCTTTATCCCCTCCCTCCTTCCAGGCACAGGGCTCAGCCCCCAGAATCTTCTTTTTTTTTTTTTTTTTTTTAAAGATTTTATTTATTTATTTGAGAGAGAGAGAATGAGAGACAGAGAGCATGAGAGGGAAGAGGGCAGAGGGAGAAGCAGACCCCCTACCGAGCAGGGAGCTCGATGTGGGACTCGATCCCGGGACTCCAGGATCATGACCTGAGCCGAAGGCAGTCGCTTAACCAACTGAGCCACCCAGGTGCCCCAGAATCTTCTTATTGCTGGGACTCCCATGTCCCTGGGGCCGAGATCCCAGGGACCCGTGTGTTTCCCTGCCCCCTGTTGTGGCCCCTCAGTCATCTGTCGATGTAACAGGTCAAAAGGACCGTGACTCAGCGGCAGCACCAGGAACTCGAGGGTGGATCTGGGGCACGCGTCTTAACCTTCCTGTGCCTCAGTTTTTCCCTCTGTAAATAGGGATAATGTGTGTCACCACGTGCTCTGTAATTCTGATGGGAGGAGGCTTATAAATACAGCGTGGGCTGTTGATAAAAACCGGGTGAGACTTTGGGGCTTTCCTTCTGCACCACGAGGTCTTGGATGCACATTTTGAGGTCTGTATGACAGAATCCCAGTGTTGTTGGAAATTTAGAGTATTCTAGTTCAGTTTTTATCAAACTTTATTCAGCAGATCATAAGTTTCTCAAGATGTTAATGGATGTTCTGTGCTGTGTATATGGGTGTGAGTGTGTGGATGTTAGCGTTTGGTCAATAAACTTGGGACAACCTTCATAGTATGTTCCCTCTTAATGAATCCTAATGTATATTATTATGTCAAAGGCTCTGACAAGTCCTGCAGCAAAGGATTCTATTTAACCTAGTCTGTCATTTTTGCATCCTCCAGGAAGAAAATGCCAACACGAAGTTAGGAGTGCAAGAGATTTATTGGGGGTCCTGCCTGTGAAAGATAAAGGGGAGGGGGAGCAGAGGAGCTAGGGGAGACTTCAGATCATGGTGCAATTCTGACACCTGTGGAGAGAGACAGAAGGAAAGCCCACAGGGTAGGAGGATCCCTGGCCTGGAGTGCTGCCCTGAGAGGGTCTCAGCCAACCCCGTGGGGAGTCCCCAGCAGAGCTGGCCCATTAGAGGTCTGCATGGGGTGGAAGTGGTGGGCCCAGGACCTCTGCTGTGTTGTCGCGGGCTGGAGCAGCTGGGGAGAGCCTGTCCTCTTGAGTGTTCTGCAAATATTTATTCATTTTTTTTTTCATTTTTTAAAAGGACGTATAATTGACGTACTACATTATGTTAATTTCAGGTGGACAGCATCAAAATTCCATGTTTGTGTATATTGCAAAATGATCTCCACACTAAGTGTAGTTAACATTCATCACTATACATAGTTACAGAATTTTTTATGTTGTGCCAACTCTTCAGATCTACTCTCTTAGCAGCTTTCGAATATGCACTACATTATCAACTCCAGTCACCATGCTGTGTTACACTGTGTGACTTGTTTATTCTGTAACTGGAAGCTTGTCCCTTTTGACCCGCCTTCACCCACTTTGCTTACCCTCCCAACCCCCACCTCTGGCAACCACCGATCTGTTCTCTATATCTAGGAGTTTTGTTTTGTTTTGTTTTGACTCCCCATGTAAGTGAGATCACACAGTATTTGTCTTTCTCCGTCTGACTTACTTCATTTGGCATGATGCCTTCCAGGTCCATCCATGATGTTGCAAATGACAGGATTTCCTTCTT